AGTTTAAAAAAATAAGTTTTAAAAGCCAAAAAAATCAATTTTTTAACTTTTAAAGTAACAAACTAATCTTTAAAATTAAAATTCTCTACACTATTCTTAAAAATGGAAGTCTAAAGTCAAAGTTCTTACTAACCCCACTCTATATCCTACTCCAAACTCTATTTTAGAGAAAAATCTTCTACAACCCCACTCTATTTTCAACTCCAAAATGGAGTAACTCTATTTTTTCCTCCAAATATAGAGTAATCTCATTCTCCACTCCATTTTGGAGTTGAACTTTTTTTATTTATAAAATGGTCCTTCAAATTTTAAATAATTTCAATTTAAAAGGTAAATAATTATTTTGATGATAATTTTCTATTTGTTTGATATTATTTTTAATTAAAGTTTTATGAATTTGTCAAAATCACAAGAATTTACAACAAAATTATTATATTACATTATAATGTGTGAAATTGTGATGTATCTGTAAGTTTGTTTTTGTGAAAAATGTGTATATATGTCTAAGTTAATTTATGTTATTACAAATTTAACTCTTTAAAAATCCATATTTTAAAGTTATTATGTATGTATGTGTGAATTAATTTAACAAAACATAATGTTACGACTTTAATTTATAAAATAAAAAATATTGTGATTAATTTGTAAATTTTATAAATAAAATGTATTATTAGTAATTAATAATGACTAGAAAAAATGAAATATAATTAAAATATTATTTTTGGAATGAGAAATAAAATAATATATTAGAGTAAAATCCAATTTTATTTTAGAATTATTTTATTTTGAAGTAAAAAATAAAATGATACATTGGAGATGCATATTCCCATAATTGTTTTTGACAAAGATCTTTCATAACTAAAAAACAAGTGCAACTTTCTTATAAATGAAAGTGGGCAAGACACTTGGGCGGAAACCGACGAAATGAGTGGCGTCCACGTCATGGTTCAAAATTGATCCCTCCAACACGCATGCGTATTCATAAAACTGTAATCTGCTAAAAATATATTCCTTACGACCATTTCCATGTGATTATTTAAATCATTGGACCATACGCACTCAACTTTTAACTTTAACTTAACTTTAATTTTGTATGGACTGAATACTAAAGATGTCAGCTTTGTATCACGCGTGTTGTGTACATAGAGACAAAATGTAATTCCTGATTTCATTAATAAAAACACATTTGTGCAAATATTAAAATGAGAAAAAGGGATTTTAGTGAATTCGTCGGAAGGCTTTGGGGGACCTAGAGAATCCATCTCTCACCAATTCAACTGTGAGTAGTGTTTTTGGGGCATTTGTCAATGG